CCTCTCCCTCTCCCTCTCTCCCTCCCTCCCTCTGTATCAAAGTCTCTATCACGGGGGTGTCAAACTGAATTTCTTTTGAGGGCCAGACCAGCATTGTAGTTCTCTTCCACAGGCCAGCTGGGTGGGGGGGGGGAGATGAGACAGGTGCCTCCTGCAGCACCCTGCCAGCCAAAATGGGGCATGGGGCGAGGCACAACCCATTTGGCTGCCAGAGGCACCGTGAGCCGGTCCTTTGCTATTTCCAGGCCGGCCCCATGGGCCAGATTTAAGCACCCTGCAGGCTGCGTCCAGCCCACAGGCCTTGATAAATGTTTGAACTGTCTTTCTAAAACAAGGCTCTTCAAACTTGGCAAGTTTAACACTTGTGGACTTCAACTCAAAGCTGGCTGAGGAATTCTGGGAGTTGAAGTCCACAAATCTTAAAGTTGCCAAGGTTGGAGAGCCCTGGCTTAAAATTTTCTGAAGTTGAGAAACCCTGTTTTAGGCAATTGAAGAGATGGCTGTGCGACACCAGACTTTTTAAATCAAAATAAGTGCTAGAATCCCTTCGCTTTGCCGGCCAGAATCTCCTCTTTTTTTCCCTGACAGAAGAAATCCCCTTGCCTTAAATTGAGTGAGAACTAGAAGTTAAAAACAGGACATTTTCTCTGAATGTGCTAGATTTGCTCTCATGACCATAATAAAAATTCAGCAACAGAAGAAAGGAGCTGAAAGCAAACACTTTCCATTGCAGAGATGCCCAGCTTACAGTGGTGGAATTCAATATTTTTTTTTACCACCGGGTCTGTGGGTGTGGCTTAGTGGGCGTGGCTTGGTGGGCATGGCAGGGGAAGGATACTGTAAAATCCCCATTTCCTCCCCCCTCCTGGAGGAAGGTTACTGCAAAATCCCCATTCCCTCCCTACCCCACTAACCTGCTTTCCAGCTCCATTCTCCTGTTCAGGGCAACAAAAGAAGACCCAGCCAATCAGCTGGGACTCGGGAGGCAGAGAATAGATGGGGGGGCGGGGCCAGACAGAAGTGGGATTTGCCGGTTCTCCAAACTACCCAAAATTTCCGCTACCGGTTCTCCAGAACTGGTCAGAACCTGCTGAATACCCACCTCTGCCGCCTTCCCAACAGTCTCTTAGTTTCAAGGTCAGGACGCAAAGAACGTGTCGAAATATGGGGAATAAAAGCAGCGAGTTTAAACTGGGTGTAAAAGAGAAGTTACACCACCATGTCGACCAAGGAAAAATCAGGCGTTCAATGAGGATTCTTTCTAGCCTGCAGTAACAACAGATACCTAGCCATGTCATGCCATGTCACACAACAGACCTGCGCCAAACCCTGGTTAGGCAGCCAAATTAAGCTATGTGAAATTGAGGGAGTAAGTTTTACTCCAGGAAATGTAATAATCCTACTTCCCCCCCCCCGCCCCATGTAAGGTTATTTCAATAAGTATAGATAGTCCTCAACCTATGACTAAATTTGAACCAGAATTTCTGCCACTAAGCAAGGGGTGTCAGGGTTCCAACGGATGTTCTGAATTAATTCATGGGCCTCGAGCCAAGTTTCAAAAGAAATCCAACTATTTATTAGGAGCAACATGTCGGCACTTTTTCCAAGTGCAGTTGGCTCTGCCCCGGGTAATTTACTGTTCACCTATGACCCTATTTCCCCCCTCCTCCTCCCAGGGTGTGTCATAAATCACATTCTCCAACAAAGTACTTTCCCTGGCTGTGGAGGACACTCCTCTCCAGTTGGGCTTGGTAACTTGAGACACAATCTGGAGAAAGATATGCATGGAATCAATGGTATTCAGCAGGTTCTGACCAGTTCTGGAGAACCGGTAGCGGAAATTTTGAGTAGTTCGGAGAACCAGCAAATACCACCTCTGACTGGAGATTTTACAGTATCTTTCCCCTCCCAAGCCCACCAAGACACGCCCACAGAACCAGTAGTAAAAAAAATTGAATCCCACCACTGGGATGGAACGGAATGATCATAGCAACTAATGGCTCTATCAGATCTCCGTCTCCCTTTCTTATGGCAACTCAAGAGCAAGTCAGTGATGCTTTACGAGTTGACAAGGTGATTGTTAAGAGAGGCACAGTTAATTTTAGGACCCTTTTGCCATGGTTGTTAAGCGAATCGCTGCAGTTGCTCAGTTAATCATGCGGTCATTAAACAAACCCAGCTTCCCCCGTTATCTTTGTTGGAAGCTTGCTGAAAAGATCACAAATAGTGATCACATGACCCCAGGAGGCGAAACGTAAATACATGCCAGGTACCAAGCACTCAAATTTCGATCACATGATCATGGGGGTGGTGGTGCTGTGACCGTCGTAAGTGTGAGGACTAGTTAGAAATCACTTTTTCAAATGGTC